CACCTCCATGGTTGTGTCCACATCCGCCTGGCCTGGGGAAAACATGGTTTTGTCTGTCCCCCTTGGATTGACACCTTTGCCGGTGTCTGGCAGGGGAAGATAACGACCGTGTACAAAAACCCAAAAAGAGGTTGTTATCAGATGCTAATTGTCAATTGTAATCTAGGATTATCACATCACCCCGAAATCGCATAGAGTGTGTAGATCATCTTTGCGTGTATCACTGTCTCCTCCTTGGCCCATTCAACGGGGCACCAGAAAGCATACCCTGCTTCTAATTCAGCCAACTCCGATTTTGAAGGGTGGACATCAAATATATATATTTGTGACGATATATTTAAAATTATTATTTATTTATTTTTATAGGAGGAACCATTTTCCTGGAACCTATCCCCGGAAACTGTCGGACTGCTACATTTTGTCCCAAATAGTTTTTCACCCTCTCTATCATAGTATTTCTGCTCGGATTGCCCGAGACCGCGAAGGGTGTGAGGTGTTTAATACTCGATTTCCTGCTGTAAGTCAGGAACCTTACGCACTTACACCCTTCGAGGTCTGACGACAGATAAGTGGAACAAAGTACTTCTTTAAAGACCTGAATTCCTCCGAGGCGGACTGAGATTTTGTTCGTCCTGTTTGACGTCCCGCCTTGTTATTGCCGGCACCATTGATTCCTTCCACTTCCTCTCGCCTGCGCCTCTTTTCTTAACGTAATGCGATGACTTCTAATGACCCAGATGAGTCATATGAATGGTATGACCGGTTACGATGGGGGGTCCTCTTCTCCTTCATCTTTCTCCCCTTCTTCCTTATCTCTTTCACTTTTCCCTAATCTCCTTCCTCCATACTACCCTTCTCCGCCCCCACCCTCTTGTCCTCGCACACGCTGGGGTTTGTGGGATCATTACCTTCTGTTAGTTTACCTGACTGTCCACCCTGGCTCGCTTCGACCTGAGGCCGCTTCCCCTCTGAGGCTTCTGTTATTTTCAAGTGAGGTGGGACAGCAGGAGTTTTGAAGATTTTCAACACAGAGACTTTTTCCACTACCTCCATTTCCACTGTGCCCATTGTACTATCTGTGGCACAACTCTTAGTGGGACCAGTCTCGTCCGAAACCTTGGCTTCACTCTGTGTGGCCAGTGGAGCCTTCGGTTGCGCTTTTTGAGTGACCTGTCTCCAAATGGCGGCTTTGGATTTGGTGGGATTTCTCATCAATGCACTGACACTCGATTGTCTTAAATCTTAATTATTTAATATTTGTAGCATTACTATATTACATTATAGGCTTTTTATAGCCGATTATTTACTTTTTTCTATCTTGAATTTTAATCACAAGCACTTTTTCAAATAGTGACATCTTTCAAAAGCAACCTGGAGGGTTCCTTTCTTCTGTTGTAATTAGGGCCTGGTTCGACACCACTACAAATGTAAGGATTCTTACAAAATCATCGTTCCACCACACCCTAATGACCGCAAAAATGAACTCCAAACTGTTTCCACATTTTGACGAACAATGAGGAATGAATCTTCATCATCAAGAGGGATAGAACTGCTAGAGGTGCACGTCCTATATGGCGGTCTGTTTAGGACTGAAGAGGTGGTTTGATCCTATTGGTTCTCGATAAAATTGTCATGTTGGACAGTTTGATTCTCTGTATAAGGGACGCTGAACCCGATTTTCAGCAGGTGATACTCCCCACCAATAGACTGGAGTCTCAACTGGGTAAGTAGGAATGGATGCTCTTATCACCATTCCTAATTACTTTCAGTTGGGTTTATATACAAAAAAAAAAAAAAAAAAAAAAAAAAACAAACAAACAAACAAACAAACAAACAAACAAACAAACAAACAAACAAAAAAATGAGGGCGCCCCAGGCAAAACGACGGAAATCTCTAGGGAGTCTCCGGAGGTGACTTGAAATGTGAGGGTGGGACCCTACAAATTGCCTGACAGGCCGAGGTCCTGACATCCGGCCCTCCTCACCTGAGATCTAAAGGCGGGTAAGTGTAGGGTCTTCCTTATGGGTTGTGGAACGAAAACAAAAGTTAGGGTAAATTAATCACCCTCGCCCAGTTAGGGCGCCCTTACAATGTAAGGATTCGTAAGTGGTGTGGAATGAGGCCCTTAGTATGTGAGGCGAGAAGGATAAATTAAATAAGAAATAACTGCGTGATTGATGAAACGGAGCATTCTAACATTTTGATCCTAGTTTGGCTTTTGTTCGTTGGAACTTGAGCAGAACAACTTTGGAAAGGATAGTAATATTGGGGCAGGGCGGAGATCAACAGGTTCCACTTACACCTGCACCAGGTCATTCCCCCCCCCCCCCCGCGCACTTCTCAGCACATTTCACCCAGCGCTTGAAGGTAAAAACGTCAAGCACAATCACCGCCCGGAAAAGAGGAAACAAGATGGAGGGAACGAGGGACCAAACGCCAGAACTGGCTGGCTGAAACAATGAACATTGAAATGGTGAAAGGTGTGGAACTGGTTGATGTGGAAGAAAACATGAAGGAAGAAGTCGTGGTGTGTGAATACTCAAAAGAGCGCGTTCCGAAATCAAGTGTAATTTCATGGAAAGTACGCAGTTTTTTCCACCTTCTCCAGGAAAAGCCACAAGCTGAACCGCTCGGCCAATCTCAAATGGATATGGGAGAAACTAAAGAGTCTGGAACTAGGGCAGGGAGACGAACCAAAAGTATCCTGTCATCCATGGACCAGGAATGTGATGATGGTTATCAGCAAAGATCCATCCTACACGGACTTCCTGAGGAACAAAACATTCACTTGCAACTCCTTAGTAGTCACAGTCCATCCGTGGAAACCAGACACCATTTCAGATGGCACCCTCTCGCTACAGACAAACTTTGATGAAAGAGTACTTCTGGGTTTAAACCACCAGTACCTGGGCGACGCCTTAGCGTTCACGCTACGCGATTTCCGCGGTCGGCGGGCCGTCGATAAATCGAATCGACAGCCCGCGCTGCTTCGAGATTTGGGCGGTCGGCGCGGCGCACAGTGCCCAAGTACTAGTGGTTTAATTTGATAACATACTCAAAGGTTTGCATGGGGGAATCAAATTGAGACTACAAATGGAATATGACCAATTCAAAGTGGTTGATTGGATCATTGCGACACCAAATTTCCTGGTCCCGCAGCACAACCAAATGATTGTATGCCTGGATTTGGACAAAGGAATCCCTCACAATACCGGAGTATTGGTACTTCGTTGTGAGGGACAAGGCTGTCATAGTGGCAGTCTCATCCAAAAGCAATCCACTATGTTTCAAGTGTAGACAAAGAGGGCATTTGGGAACTGATCCAAGTTGTCCAAAGAATGTTGAGACAGCCAAGCCCAAGGTGTTGAGACGGGCAAGCCTAGCTGAAGTAATGATTTGGTCAGGGTTTTGGAGGGAGAACCAACCCCAAGGCCTGACATTTAACCCCCATCGGACAGCAGATGACACACCATGAAAATGAAAATGAAATCTGCAAAATTGTTGACCATCCAGCTATGTATTTGGAAAAATTCGAGTAGAAAGACGCCTTAAGATTTAATAATGGATCTAAATGAAATTGGTGAGATGGCAGAGAGGGAATGGCAGGAAAGGGAAAAAAGAAGAACAGAACGGGAAATGGAGATAGAATCGCGAGAAAACAGGGTGTTGTCAACATACACCAGGAGAGGCTCACGAACAATCCAATCACAACAGCAAGAAGAAACAATAAGGATAGAAGTGGATGAATCAACAACGGTGCAAGGGGACAGTAAGGAGGATCAACAGGCAACAAAAGATAAAGGCAAAGTAACAATGGGAGAGAAATGAAAGAAACCCGAGGAAGGAAAGGGGATAAGTTGGATAACAACTAAGAGGGTCCAAATAGAAGGAACAGGTGAGGACAAAGAGCGAATTACTAAATTAGTGAGGAGGATTATGAGTCATGGGCAGATCATTCATTGGAAGAGATAAAGATGTACACAAAACGCAAAGAGGGAAAGGGAGGCAAGATTTGAGCTGCAAATAGCCTATTTCGGAGACGAAGAGAAGCGCGAACAAAAGGCAGGGGCAGGAGACTCCACCCACCCTTTTTTTCTTTCAATAAATCCATATGCTCTGCTGGAAAAAGAAGAAGAAATGGCGTCTTTCTACGCTGAGCAATACTTCAGGTCCAAGAAGGGACAAACTTTGTGGGACAAGGAGTTGGGTATGAAGAAGGAAAGCACATGTAGGAAAGATAGATTCAGAATGCGAACGCTCCTTGAAACAGATAACAAAAAGAAAAAGGAAGAGACTAAAAAAGACTCCCAAAGCAAGGAAGGGTATGAAGCCTTATTGTATTGTTTAAAACCTATTTGATACTTCCAAGTTCCAAGAGCCCAATATGCCACTGAATGATTTCATGTGACTCTGTAATTACAGCTGGTTATTACGCTATAAAACCCACCCCTCAGCCAGTGAAGGGAAGGCGATCATGGTAATATATGGCTGAGTCTACATCAAGTGGGACCCCTCACTCAACATGGGAGGTTAAGTTTGTGAGATGAGGACACGTTCGTTTGTTATGTAAAAGCCCGAAGAAAGGAAATTACCTAAATTTCATTTCAACGAAGTAATCATTCTGGTTCGTGAAAATGACAATGGGCATGCTCGCATGAAAAGCTCATTCCATCCTTTGGTCAAACTATGAAGAAGTGAATATGAAACCTAAACCCTAAAAGGCTAAACCCTCAACCCTCAACCCCAAAAAGACTAAACCCTAAACCCCAAAAAGACTAAGCCCCAAACCCGAAACCTTAATCCTTAAAAGGCTAAACCCTAAACCCTAAACCCTAAACCTGGATTACATGGTTCCTATGAAACCCGACGATCTCCCCCTCATCCCTTTTCTTAACAATACACTTCAACACAACTCTTTGATTCTTTGAACCATTTTGGTTAACTTTATTTGTATCTCAGTGAAGCTTGTTTTGCTTTTATGTGTTTGTGCATTTTGCAGCCTGATGCCGGGGTACCACTGAGCCAGTTGAAAGCAACCTTGGGCTTTTTGGCAGCTGCCAATTCTCTAGGGTTTGTTATTAGCCTTTTCTTCCCAGAGACGAAAGACTTGCCATTGGAAAGCATCTTCGATGAAGGTGGGTATTTGGCTTCTTCAAGGCCATTAGACACAGATAAGCTATCGTCGCTTGCAAAAGGCGCAAAACTAAATCCACCCAAATCCATGTCTCCTGTACATGCAATCATGTCAAATGTAACCTTTTCCGATCAACTAGAGTCAAGTAAGACGAGCCCTTTGCAAAACGTTAGGGAGAAGGTGGACCACAACTCAGGATTATCGCCAACCATGAAGTTGCTAAGCACTCCCTCGACAACTCCATTGCCACCTCTCCCAACCTCTCTAGATAGGATGCCTGCACCCTCTAGAGGCATTTCAATCCAATGATTTAGGGTGCATTGCTTGTTGTTGGCATAGCAATCGATGAACTGCCCACTACCCTGTAATTAATCTCTCCGACCGGATTCTTAGTAGCTAAATTTGAAGCTATACTGTGGTTCATAAACAAATCGGAACATTGGGTTTCATGTCAATGAATCACCCGATCATCATCGTTCATAATGTTTGTATGTAACTGCTCTCAAAATTTTACGGAATAGGAAATCTTTGAAAGAGAAACTGGAGTTATTATCATGGAGATGAACCTTTTTCCTACTTGTATCATACTCATGGGGGATTTCCATAATATATCCATAATGGCATAATATATTTGTTCGAGGCATGAGCAACTTTTTCGTAGTTTAACGCGGATCATCTAGCTGGTGTGAATTTTTTTGCTATCGTAACTACGTAAGTTATTGGGAAGAGAAAATTAGGCAATTGTAGACATGAATGTATTGCACTCCTAGATGAAATTCGTTATGTGTTTGTAGTAACTTTGTACTATTTAGTACGTGTTTTTTTTTTTTTTTTTTTTTTTTTAATGAAATTTATACGTGTTTGTAACTTTGTATGTCACCTGACCATGTTGTGAAAAGTGGGGTAAGGTGTGTGGCCATCGGGATAAGGCTGCTAGTGGTTGGATAAAATGGAGCACACATTGCTGCATTTATTCTTAGTGGCTTTGACAAGTGACGAAACCCTTCTCGTTTTTTTTTTTTTTTTTTTTTTTTTTTTTTTTTTTAAAAATACCTTTTTTTTTTGGCTTCGCTCCATTTTGAACAGTACCATTTTTTCTTTTGATTTCTTCTGCTTTCTTTCCTTCTTTTCCTTCAAAACGTTTTTCTTCCCTGAGGCCTGGACCCACTAGCGAAGTATTCTACCACTCCGGTCAGGATTTCGATCATGTGTGGCCTAGAGTGATGCGGTACGGCCGTCGAATACATTAGATCTCGTCGGCCTGGTAGTTTCCGAGCGGGGACTGTAAAGATGCCCACCTCCTGTCCAATGAGATGCGTCGAAAAAACTAACAAACAAACAAATTTGGGCACTATAGCTGGTGGCTTTGCGTGGGCGAGAAATGTGGATTTTATGGATTTGAAAGGGGGGGGGGGTTAATTTCCAGACCTCGTTTTTTTTTTTTTTGGCTCTGAGATATCAAACTTGAAATGTGAAATTCAAATATTGTGGTGGATCTGACAGGAACGCTTCCGCGTCTGTCGGATGGCCTGCTAGAGGCATCATGAGATACATGGTGATGAATGTATCCCAATACCCGTTACTTGTTCAACCTCGTGAATGTGTTCGTGGACACATTTTATTGTCACAGTACATCACTATGAAGACTTACGTGAAGGAGATCATACCAACCCATGAATTCAGGTGCACAACTGTTCTTCTTTGTTTTATGTGTCATTTCAATTCATTTTAAATCAGAAAACGATCCATTGATGCAAATAAAACATAACTTTGTCTTTTCTAAAAAACCATAAAATTGCGTCACACATCGTAGAATACTTCGCTAGTGGGTCCAGGCCCCTGTCCTTTCTTTGTTTGCTTTCCTTGCTTTTTTTGCTTTCTTTTCTTTCTTTCTTTCTTTCTTTCTTTCTTTCTTTGCTTTCTTTCTTTATTTCTTTCCTTCGTCCTGTCTTTCTTTCTTTCGTCCTCTCTAACTTTTCTCACTTTGTGAGTCTTTTTCTTTCTTTCGTTGTTTCTCTTTTTCCCTCTCTTTCTTCTTTCCTTCTTTCTTTTTTCCATTTGGTCGTTCCTTTTTTTTTCATTTTTTTGTTTTTGTCTTTCTTTCTTTCTTTTTTGGGATAATTTGCAAAATACCCCCACAAGTTGAGATATATGCCAGAATGCCCCTAAAACATGTGGGTATAGAGGAATGCCCTTTTGGGCCAAAATCTTTGTAGTGCCCCTGTCAGGCGGGTGTGCAACTTTGCAATCTGGACCTCCCCGTTTGGGCTTCGACTAGTTGTCTTCCTTTTGTTGTCCTCGTCTCCCCTTTGCCTTCTCTGGGCTACTTCATACCACCCATGATCTCTCCTCTACCCTATCAGGCCATCTCCGACAGACAACCCTTCGAGGGACTGCATCCACGTGGCGATTACAACGGGGGGTCATTAGGTGCTGCAATTCCAAGGGAGGAGGAGGAGTGAGGTGGGGAAGAGGTTTTTTTTTTTTTCCTTTCTCCCTTCTTTTTTTTCTCTCTTCAGGGGAAAGGAAAAGGATAGAGAATAACACAGTCACGAAAGTTGTCCGGAGTAGAAGGGAGAGAAGGGAACAGGCTCTATACACCGAGCGAGATGATTAGTAAGGAAAAGAGCAGGTACCGGAGGGTCCATAAAAAAATTGACTCCATGCTCTTGTACAAAGGGCTAACAGCTCGCTCACGGGGACTGATGTGTTACACACCTTACATACGACAGGGGACAAAGGGGGGAATGCACTTCATTCTGCATATAAGGGTGACCGGGAAAAGGTGGTACGGGAACGGGAGGGGGCTGGGGAAGGGAGTCGGGCATCGTCTAGCTCGGCTGGTCCAGAAGCAGACTCGTCTAACTCATCTAGTCAAGGTGGGGAATCGCGATCGTGGGCGGAAAGGGTGGGGAGATCCTTTGTTGGGGAGTCTATTTCGATCTAGCGTAGGAAAGGAGGAGGAGTAGCAGGAAAAGGGGAAGAGTGGAGAATTCCATTGGGAAACGTGACATTTGTTGGGGCCTTCCTTCTGACCTGCCTCCTGTCCCCCTCAGAAAACAGGATACTGCACCAAGGCAGCAGGTGAACCGTGGTCAAGGCGTTCCCCGGGGATAAGGTGAGAGTTAAAGAAGAATTGTACATACGCCACGTGAGCAACAGGGCATTCCACGACGACGCATCATTTAAGTCAACGAATGACAAGGTTGGCTGGATCAGAGAGCGAGTAGGTGCCTTCAGGGGATCCTTGGACAGTGCACAGGATCTCTTCCTGATCCAGCCAACCTCATCATCTGTTATCACAATCATCTGTATGATTGAATCGAATAAAAAAATAATGGATGGATGGAAGTCACTTCGCTGCGGAGGATCGGAAGTGCGAATCTACCCTTGGTCCCCCCCGAAGCAGCAGCGACCAGAGGAATGTAGAGAACAAATGATGAGAGAATACTTTTGGGTAGAATTTCGACACATCCCTATCGAGATTCAGGCGGCCTTCGTGCAGGATTTTGCGGAGAAATGCGACGTAGTGGACTTCATTGATCCATTACCACCCCACGTAGCGCGGAGGAATGATTACCTTATGTTGGCTATTAGTCTGGTCGAAGGGCACGTTTCACTATTCCGCACTGTGTAGGCGGAAGAGTACCGAATACACACTGCCCATAAACACAGCCCCTGGTGTTTCAAATGCCAGGCCTATTGTCACTTGTATACAGACACAGCTTGCGCTCGCCATCCCTCCCTGGCGGCGAAGCCTACAGGGCGCCTTAGGAAAGACTCCTTCGTAGAATCTCAGTGGCGAACGGTGGATCCGGGTCATGAGGGATGGGTCTTCATTGACACACCCGGTGAGAAGGAAGGTGAAGTAATCGGTTGGTCATGGGAAGGGCAAGGTGACCCTCAGCAGGATACTAAACCACCAGCATGATGGACCCCCCCACGGACCCTGGAGGCGCATCTGCTACAACCATCCCATGGGAAATAGTGGGGAAGAAAAAGAAGGAGAACAGGAGTGTGTTAATTGAAATGTCAAAAGGACGGGAAAATAATAAAGGCAACAGTTTTGCCCTGTTGGAGGATTGGGGGGGAGGAGGGGGTCGGGGGTCAGAAGGAAGTGCCCGAGGGGAGTGGAAGGAAGGGGACAGGAAGGAAGGATGATTCTTGTAAGGGGCCCACGGAGACACAGGAGAAGCTGCCACAAGAACAACAGACCAACCAGATCCAGCAGGCATAACCACAACAAGTGCGGATGAAACAGCAAGCACAGGCCAGACACACACCGCATGCACAACCCCAGCATGCAAAACAACAAACACAACAGACGCCGCTATAACAGTAAACACATCAGACACTGCCTGCGTATCAAACGCAATAGAGTCAGCAGACACAACACGCTGAGCCGTCAGAGCCACCACACCAAGCGCAGACGTCGGGGTCACAACGAGCGAGTCACACACTGGCCACAAATTTCTGTTCAGACGCGTTTGGGGCCCGATCGATGGATGTGGATTCAACAACCCCCCCCAACCCCCCCCCCCCCGGATGTGGAAATGGATGACAATTCAAAAGACGCGGACGCCCCACCACAAGAGACGAGTCTGGACCAAAACATCCAGGTGGTCACGGAATGGATTAATTAAACATTTAAGAGCTGACCTGCCGTAAGGGGGCGAAGAGTACTTGGACAACTCTTACGTTGAGCTGGTTACCTTACTAAATAATAGCCCGACACTTTGATCAACACTGACGTTTGGCCCCCCATCTCACTTGACATGGGCAGAAGTCTTCCAACGCATCCTGACTATCGCCCGGGGCCGCTTTCGCCCTCTCCTTAAGCAGCATACCCCGTCGCCAGATATTCAACACGCACAGCTAGAGAGAGAGGTAGGAGTGGACACTATGGAGGAGGGGATGACCTCACGTCGACTTAAGTTGCGACAATTGATTGAACGGGGTTTTTTTGAGTTGCCTCTCTCCAACACGGAAGAAATATTGGTAATCCCTATGAGGAAAACCGAGGGAAAATGGGAAGTTGGTCTCTCCGCGGTGGGTGAGCACGGGGGCGTGACTTTACAGGGTTGGGGCTTCCTGGTCCACATCGGGGATCCTAGGGAAAGAGATAAGACCTTCATGAGCCAAATGGAATCCTTCATCCCCAAACACTATGCTCCCGGGGCGAGAGAAGCCCTCAGATTCGAAAGATGCGACCAACAGATAGCTATGAATGACCTCTATCTACTCTTTGAACCTAATAAATCAGCCGACCTACGTTGGCAGAACCACAATATGCAGCTGGACCTGCAGTGCGCAAAAATAAAAGCCAGTCATTTCTAGTCGGACGACGATGTGCAAATGTCTATGCAGAATTCTGCGAAAGAAGGTTCTGAGCTTAGATAGGTGGGATGCCAAACAATGGCATCCCCTTTGAGGTGCACTCCGAATCAGAAGAACGGAACGCCGAGAAAATGGA